CACACACACACACACACACACACACACACACACACACACACACACACACAGAGATAAAACTCGGACGAATTAGCAGGACTAGAGGGCACAACTCAAGAGAAGGTTCAGAGCAAGTCTACTCAGGAAATAAACCAAACCCCAATGGGAAAAAGAAGACCCCCCTGAAAAACAAGAATTGAGAGCCTCCAGGAAGTTAGCCCCCCACGACTTTTCCGTATGATCATTCGAACCCGCGCCCTCCCGCCCTCCTTTATTCCTTTTTCCTTTTTCCTCTTTTCCTTTTTTCTTTTCTTCTTTTTTCTTTCTTTTGTTCTTTCTTTTTTCTTTCTTTTTGTCTTTTCTTTCCTTTTTCCTTCTTCTTTTGCGTCCGTTTCCAGAAGCGTAAAGCATCAAGGTAAACGTAGGTCCGGGGCAAGGCCGCTATCCAGTTAAGCTGCACTAGGCTTCAAAACAAGGGCAGAAGCAGAAACGAGAATGGAAACTGATCTGTGCGCACCTCGGGAGATATCGAAGTGAATCGGCACCCCCGATGCTGGACGTTTCGAGAAAAAAATGGTGGGGTAATATTTCGCAGAGTAGTAGTAGTACGAGCGTCGAATAGAGAATGGGGAGTACTATTTAGCCAGGAGATTAGCGGAAGCTAAGCATCATTGTCAGAAAGAATTGCGGAGATCAACCGGCAATTTCGGAGGCAGAGCACTGTCAGGCGATCTTTCGGACGGAGCATTTTTCAGCAGGTGACGGCAGGAGCCATGGATTTTCCTCTGGACTTGGACGCAATCACGGCCAGGAGAGAGGCGCACGACCAGGAAACGGTACTGCTCTGAGACGCGAAGCATGGAGTGTCCGGCACCTTCCCACACACCCGAATTTCCGTAGCGTCCTCCTCCTCTGCCTCCTTCCCCTTCTCCTTCGACTTCCCCTCTCCCTCTCTTCCCTTCTTTCCCACCTCCCGCGCAAGCAACCCTCCTCTCATATGCGCTTATAGCAGCATTCACCACGATCTTCTGCCTAGCACTTATCCCAAACATGCTTATCCTCTGCATCCTATTCAAGCAATGCTTATCGGAGAAGGTACTGCTGGCACCTACTAGAAGGCAAGCAGCCTATCTAAGCGCGCTTGTTGGCATAACGAGCTCGATAGCAATAGCCGCTAGCTCATACGCGTATATGATAAGTCTGATCGCTACCGCACTCGCAGCTAATAGAGCCTGAGCACCAGCGAAGAACAACAGAATGGAGAAGGAAGGGAGCAATGCTATGCACGCAGAAGGAGCAATTTGCAGTCTCCTAGCCTTTCTTGCGTTTCTCAAATTCCTAGCCTTCACCTTCTTCATCGCATCCTTACCCCAACCACCGCAGGCAGCATGTCCCTGCAGCAGCACAGAACGCGCAGCAATTCTGCAATCTATCGAACACATTCACCAACTATTCACCAATCTATCGAAACATGTCCCTGTCGTTTTTCATAGGAATCTGTGTGTATGCTTCTTAGTCATACTCCCTAGCCTCGCATGTTACCAGTTGAGAAGCATGGTTCCTTTTTTTTTCTTTCTTTCTTTCTTTCTTTTTTTCTTTTTCTTTTTTTCTTTTTCTTTTTTTCTTTTTTTGTATCAGAACCTTTGTCTCCACCCAGACTCTCTCCCGTGCGTTCGCAGCCCCCTCAATCGTTCTGCTGCATCTTTCCTTCCATATGACCCAAAGGGCGGTCTTCCTGATGATCTCGAACCAGATCCTTTCTGCTTTCCGTGGCCACTTAGGGATATCAATCAGAAGGAGAAGTTGGATGGGTGTCTCAGGGAACGGGGAAGTGAAGAGGGAATCCCAAAGGGTGGATGCTCTCGCCCAATAGTGTGTTGCTTCTTTGCAGTATATTAGGCAGTGTACTATATCCTCTACTGCATTATCCGTGCACACCACACAACGGTCAGAACTATCCGGTACAGACTCTTTCCTCCTGATATGTAGCCACTGATTGACTGGTAAAGCTGCGTACATGATTAACCACTGGAGGCTTCGGATTCTGACTGGTCTAATCATCTTGTATGTTTTCCACGGAATCTTCGTAATTTTATCCGCTTCCTGGCCTATTATCTTTAGCCATCTTGTTTTGATGACGGGTTCAGGGTTTTTCATTTTTAGCATGAGTTTGTACCCTAGCTTAACCGTGTATTCCTGTATAAAAGTGCCCTTCTTAACATTTTTCTCCTTGTCCGGTTTCCATGCCCACTCCCCCGGGTCGAACTCTAGGTCTCGAATGGCCGTGTCGATTCTGAAGATCGATTTAGGCCAATCCCCTAGCACTCTCACTTTCCTGAGTAGGAAAACTTCTATAACTATGGTTTCTACATCAGTATTCCCGACCGATGGCCCTTCGCTGTGTGCGTGATTGGGAAGGATGTGAAGATTGCCTGGGTGGTCGATCCTTGTTGACAGTGTGAAAACTAAAAAGCTCTAGAGGGTCTACTTTCTTGAATTTTAACCCCCCATTCTCCGTTATTCCAGTCCCCACCCTGTTTCAACGTCTCCTCCCACTCTGGCGGGACCAGGCCCGTTATGTACTGTAAATTGAGGCCTCTCCTGTGACACCCCTTGAGCCGAGTACTCAGCTCCTGTTCAGATATCCAATCCTTTCTTTCATGGTTCCATAGGTGTCCAATTGTCCAAACCCCATTCTTTACCCAAGAGAGCCACCTATGGTTTAGGAATAGAGGCTGATCGCTTTCACTCCTTACCCACTCATTACCAAATAGTGGTTGTCTTAATATTTCATCTTTGGACTTAGGTCTGTTGGATTTTTTAGGCATAATTGATCTCCAAATCCGGATGAGAGTCTCCCAGTAAGGTGAATGATGAATATCCGCGTTCTGTGATATTTCCCCTCTAGCTCTCCTCCTCCCTCTTTTCAAAGACCATTCTTTGTTCATTACCCAGAATAGACCAGTCATGTTGCTTGGCAATGGAATTGGGGCCAGCGCCCTTATACTGTCCAAGGCGAGGTTGTTCCATGTCGTTTCTGGTTTTGTTAGCAACCGAACTATCCATTTAACTTGGAGAGCTTTCGTCTCACATTTCGGGTCTATAATCCCTAGTCCCCCTTGGAAGGGTTTCCTTGTAATATAATGCCAGGCTATTTTGGGAATACAGTTACCTCTGTTGGGGTTGCCCGTCCAAAGGATTATCTGCTACCCGGTTTAGTTCTTTTAGTGAGTCATCCGGGATTGTCCATACTGCCGCAATATACCACATCATAGAGAATACAGAAGTGTTAAGGGCCAACGCCCGACCCATCAACGAGGTGTTCGTATGCCCCCATCTCCCCAGTTTGTTCAGCTGATTAGCTAGCATACTTGGGCCCATTTGTGGTGCCAAACCCCTTCGCGTCATGAGGATGCCTAGGAATCGAGTGGGGGTGTCTGGCGTGTCCCAGGACATGTCTGCCTTCGGACCTTGCAGGTTTGGAATAGGGTCCTCCGAAAGCCACCATCCTATAGTTTTTTTCCAGTTGACTTTCATTTCTGACGCCAGTCTGAATGCTTCCATTGCTCTCGACAGTGCCTTAAAGGACGAATCTGAAGCTCTTATCAGAACAAACATGTCATCTGCAAACATTATTACTGTCGGGAACTTGAGATGATGGGGTGTTCCTATATTGACCTCCGGTAATCTGTGTATCGATGGATCTTTTCGTAGAAAGAAAGCAATGGCTTCCATCACAAATAGGAAGATCGATGGAGCAAGCGGGTCCCCTTGCCTAACTGAACGTGATATACTATAGCTTTCAAACAGGAAGTTGTTTATCTGTACGCATCCTGAAGCGTCATTGTATAGGACACAGACCCATTTCGTGAAGATTGGTCCCACCCCCATACACTCCATGCTTGCGTCCATGAAGTCCCAATTAACTTGGTCGTAAGCCTTCTCAAAATCGAAAAACAGTATCGTTGTGTTTATCCTTTTTTCTCTAACCTTGCTGGACGCTTCGTTGAGTGTTAAAACATTGTCTAATATGTAGCGGCCCGGAATGAAGCCTGTTTGATCAATGTGGAAGCATTTGCCTGTTATTTTCATGATTCTAGCAGATAAGGCCTTGGCCAAAATTTTATATGGTAGCGTGAGTAAGGAAATAGGTCTGTAGTTTCTAACGTCCTCCTTATCCCCCTTCTTATAGAGCAATGTAACCACGCTGCTGCTAATTAGATTGCCCAGACCCCCTTTTTCAAAGCTATCCTGGTAGAAATTCAACAAGTCTCCCCTTAGATTTGGCCAGAATTTTTCCCAAAATTCTTTCGTTAACCCGTCAATTCCTGGTGCCTTATCGTTGTTCATGCTTTTGAGGGCCTGCAACAATTCTTCTTTTGTAAGGGGTTTGTCCATATCTGCTGCTTGTTCCACTGAGATTGTTTGTTCCAGATACCGTAGCATCCGCTGTCTCGCTTCCAAGGTGGCATTCGGTGTGGGAGAAGCATGGTTCCTAATGGGAGTCTATTTGTTTAATTGAGATTGATGCTTTGACAAGAGAACTTCGCACGAAGTTAACGACTCGCATTGCTGGTTTGTGCATGTGCCTTTCGGGAATTGATGTCACAATTGTCTCACTTTCAACTATTTTCTACGCAACAATGAAATATACGTGTATGCTCCCTAATCTTACCCCCTAGAATGTCGCGTACTTAGTTACGACTTCTTTGAATTAAGAGTGAAGTGGTTCCTCTGGATGAGTACCTTAGGTAAAATTTCACTCAAAAGCTGACGT